TATATATATATATATATATAAATTTCATTCATAAAAAAAGTTTTTTTCTCTCGTTTCTCACAATTCAATAAAATGAACAAAATCGAGAAGCTGCCAACAATTATCCTCGAATAATTGATGGGATCCAGTTTCGATCTTGCAACAGTTGGTACTACTGTAGTAATATTGTCGCATATATAATACGTGCTTGAAAATATTTTGGAAGTTTCAATGGGTTTGTTTACAATCTAGAATCTGTACGAACTTCGTTCCACGATTTATCTTTTAAAAGAAAAAAAATATCTTTTCGAATAAACGTTCCAGGTAACTAAATGTATCTTTCACAAATACGGTCCATCAGGAACTATACAAAACCACGATGCTCTGTGCATCATGGCATTGAACATCATTAACGAGAAGATCTATGTGTTCCTTTGGTATTGGTACATCATTCTCTCTGTGATAACCGGTTTAGGATTGCTCTGGAGGTTACTTACTATGGCGTTGCATGCCAGGTTACTACTTTATTTATCTATCTATACGTATCTCATGCCTTGTAGATAGTTATTTTTCCAAGAAATACGGATTCTTTGAACTCTTGTATTATTGACTGTGTATTTCTAAATCCATGACAATATATCGCATATGAGAAATACTTCCGCGAAATTCTGATCTCACGTGTGTTAACACCGATATTGCGGATAATTGTAATTTTGAGGAAGTGCTCGTTCAAATATAAATTCCTACACAATTAATAGTGCAATTGGATTAACGAATTTACTTGGAAGAATGCGTTGAAATTCTCAGATAATTTTCGATTTTGAAGAAGAAGCGGAAATTGTTCACATTACTAATTATTTTTACATATGATATCATTTAGAATTTTTTTTCCTCAATAAATTTCATTTTTTAACTTTATTATTTAACATTTCAAATATTCTAAATATTTTTCTTCAAATATATTATATTTTCTAAAAATTGTTTACATTATTTAACATCTCTTAATCCGAATAATTTTATTAATTAACGCTTAATTTTTTTTTAATTAATCTTATATGGATTAGGAGTGAACTATTCAACAAGTTAGTGTTCTCCATGGCTTGTCCTGGGAAATATAATCCGTGGAACGTGCTGGCCGTTACTCATGAGTGCCACTATGGGGATTGGGTATTTCTTTATTATATAGCGAAGAACTTGGATAACTATATATTCAGAGAACTGTTGGTGAAACTTGCCGGTGATCTGGAAGAAAGACGTCAAACTATATACAATATGTCTAACGAAGAGAAACCGTTAAACGATAAAGAGAATTAATTATAACTCGTCTACGCATAAGTGAGCATATTTTTTATTATAAGATTATCAAAAAATCGAAGATATGAAATTAAATTATTAAAATTTTATTTTAATTTTAAAATTAAAATTATAACTTAAAATTATTAATCAAATTATAATGATATATTTATTTTTGGATAAACAAATTTTCAAATAATACGATTTATATATATTTTTTTGATATATTGATCTTTGTATAGTTTTTGCAAAGAAAAGAATGTAAATATTATTGTAAATATAAAAATTAATAAAATAAGTTTGATGATTATGTCAAATAAATCAGTGTTGAATAAAGTCTGAAAAATAAATAGATTAATATCAGATAAAAATATCGGTAAACTCAATAAATAAATATCGATAAAATGAATAAATATTACAAAAAGATAAGAGAAGATATTAAATAGATTTGAAAAGTATCAAATAATTGTTTTTATTTTTTGAGTGAAGTTCAATTAATTTATTTATATGATTAAATTAATTCTTTATGTTTGCAGACAAATTGGATTATTGAGAATTTCTTCAATTTTATTTCTCTTTATTGAAAAAAATTTCAAAATTTTTTAATGTATTTATTAAAATAATTTTGAGAATTTTAAAAATTTGAAGAAAGTTTTTTTCATTTTAACAAATGATTATATAATGAAGTAATGACATTAATAATATATTTTTAAAAGTTTTTTCAAACTTTTTAAAAAGCTAAAAAAAAAATTATACTATTAATTATATATTAAATATAAATAATGTAATTAGCATACGAAATTAAATATTTAATGTAAAATATGTAATAAATATGTAAATAAAATATTTTATTTATATATTTACCTAGTCAAGATCAATCGTAAGTTATTTTTTATATATTTATATAATGTAATTTTGTATTGTAAATACCATCAAATATCATTTTTATTCATATGTGCTACTTATAGTGTAGTTTAGATAGTTATGTAATATAATGTAAATAAATCTAAAGATGTAAAGATTGCATCATCATCAAATTAGACAAATTATCGAATTTGATTCTATTTTTTACATCATTTCAGAAAATTTTAAAACTACATAAAAATTTTTGTTAATGTTGTATAAATAAAACTATATTTTTAATTGTAAGCATTTATTTGAAAGGAAAATTTGTTTTTTTCATAATTATTACCAATTTTTCAATATTACAATCGTTATAAATAATTAATATATTTTTATTGTAAAAATAAAAAAAATATTGTTATATATGTTGCAAAGAAATAAAATAAATAAAATGAAAATTTAAATATTTTTAAATTATTAATATTAGAAATATGTATATTTTAATAAATATTTTAATAAATATGTCTTAACAAATATGTTAATAAAGATTTTATTTTATAATTATTAATATTTTTGAGGAAAATTAATATTGCATTTTTTCAAATACAAATATAATTAGATATAGGTATAAATAGATATCCATTTAATTTTATCATATCACTTGAATCCTAGTCACTTATTTGTGTATAAAATTTTTACGTATATTAAAAGTTATATATATAAATACATAAAAATCATATATATATATATATATAATATATATAATATACAATCATATATATAATATACAGTCAGTATATAATTTTGAAGAGAATATGGTAGTTACATAATTCCTTAAGTTTTTCAACGTAACTCTGTATCTTCCTTCGGTACATCTCAATTAGAGTGCACTTATATACCGTTATATATGCAAGTAAATATAGGTTATATTAAACTGACCTCTTCAGCTGCTCAACAATAATCGGGATTATTAAATCGTTTAAAAGGTTGATTGGTTTTTGCAACGTGACTTATCATTAAATTAATCCATTTACGTTCATCTGCAAATTTTCTAACTTCATTTTCGAGTTAATTGTACGAATGTAATAAACATATTTAAAATTTCAATAATATTCAAATATACTAATAAAATAATAAAATAAAAATTTCAAATATACTAATTTTCCCAGAAGTTATTATTACTTGAAAAATACTTTACAAAATTTGATAATAACTTTCTTCAGATTTGCTTTGGAAATCATAAATCTCATTTTCTTCATAACGAATTTATAGGTTTGATTTTTAGAACTATTGAATGTAACGATGGTTTTTCAAAAAGAAAAATTATTCGACAAAAAGAATGAAATTTAAGTAGATTTTAATTCGTCTTAATAATGGCAATGAAAAACTTATCAAAGCTTGTAACATATGTTGATAGAGAGTTGTATCATCGACACCAATGAAAGAAACTGATTACCCAACTGTTAACTCATTATCGAGAACTGATATTAAGAATATATTTGAAATATCTGTTGTGTATGGTAATAAAATTTATAAGAATAACATAGAAAATTAGAGTACAAAATGTATTAAATAATTATATTTTTATAAATCATTGTATTATTTATGTATTTATAACCTATATTAAATATTATATATATTAATAATATTTTGTCATAGATATAACCTTAAAATAGAAAAACGAAACGAAAGGATGAAATAATATAAAATATTATATATAATATAAAATATTATAATACTAATTAATAAATACTAACAAATAAATACTAACTATAACTAATAAAATAGAATAAAATAAAATAAAAAAAATGTCGTGATTTGAGATTAAAAATTAAACATATCGAAGAAAATGAAGAATGAGTTATTAAAAATAAAAAACGAAATATAATTAAACAATTGTGTGTATTGGATCAAGAGGTAAATTGTAAAATCAGATTACGAGATCTTTGTTCGTTCTTTTTATGAAAAGAAGAATCATCGCGACCGGAACATGGTCCATTATGTTCTCTCTCACAACCGGGAAATGACGACTGTGCATTAGAGAAAAGAGAACATGCATATTATATGGAAGGTTCTTTGACGATCGTAACATATGCATGTATTTAATGTATCTAATGTATTTAAACTGTTCCGATAATTATCCGACACGGTTTTAGTATTATATTTTCTATTAAAATGAATGAATCTGTATTTTACTTATTTTGTGTTATAATTATATAAATCTTATCTGGTGTTATAATTATAAAAATTTGAAAATTTAATAATATATTTGTATTTTTAGTATTAGTCATATTTGATAATTTTAAATAAATATTATATTTTTCTTTTATTTTTTCAAGATTATTTTTTTTAATTTCTTTAATAATTCTAAATTTTAGTATGTAAAAAATTATCATTTAATTTAGAAAAATTTATGAATTTCAAGATCATTTTATAATAATGTCATTAAAAGAACTTATTTACGCATTATATTATAATATATGTCATTCAATAGTAATTAAAAATTCATTAATTCAAATGTTCATCATTACTTAAGTATTTAGAATCGATATATTAGAAGAATAAAATAATAAAGAAAAATAAATTTTTAGTTTTTAATAAAATGTTATTTGTATAATCTTTTTGTGGTTTAGCCATACATTGAAAACCACTGTCTAAAAGAGTAAAGAAAAAAATTAAATATCTTGAACTAAAGATAATAATGAACAGATGAATAAAATGAAACATAAAAATTAAAATTTATATTTCTCAAGACATTTTTGTTTCATTCTACAAGTTCCATTTTCGCTAATAGTTTGGAAATTATATCATTATCGTAACTTATAGAAATCTGATGAAATATCGCAATAAATGACCCGTGATATTTTCCTAATATTACATACACGTGCACGGACTTTCAAAACTAGTCAGATACTGACTCATGAAATAGTAAATTTATTATCTACTCGCTCAGAAAACTGTCACTACCGTTCGTCAGTTGAAAGGAATTTCCGATTATATTATGTTGCTCCATCGTAGAACAGAAAGAAAGTTCAATTTTCGCGCCAGAAAAAGATTGATAAAATCTATTCAGTTGAATATTTTCATAAGTAGAATTTACTTTTGATCTTGTTTGCACTTTGATGATTTATTAAGCTCAAGGTCTTCTCTATGAAGATTAAAAGAAAAAATAAATCATAGACTCTAAGAAAATTTTTCGAAATCCTTAATTATTATGTTATTTGATAAAATTTATTATAGAATATATTATATATATAATATATATTATATATAAATATATTATAAAATATAAATATATTATAAAATTTTTTATAGAATATTCTATTTGTACTTTTATTATTTAGTATTTTATAAAGAAGAAAAATAAATTAAGGCTTATTTTTATGAAATTAATTATAACAAAAACGATTAAAATAACGATAAAACTCATTAGCAGCACAAATGGCATTCTTCATTGGTGGCAGTGAGTAAAATATTCTAAAAGCGTTTCAAGAAGCAAGAAGGATACAGAAGGAATAAGAATGCATTTCGTATTTCATCCAATACTTTACTCTTGTACTCTTCGTGATAGAATTTTGAACGACCAACTGATGTATCTCTGACAAAGTATGCGTGTTTTCTAAAAAAAAAAAAAAAATAAACATCAAGTAATGTCTTGTCTTAACATGATAAGAATACTTATTTTTAGAAATTTTTTGAGTAATAAATTCAAAAAGGATGAAAACGATTGATTTAATATGTTATCCATAAAAGTTTTCATTAAATCATATCGATATATTAACACACTGACTACTACTGTATTTATATTCTTAACCACAATTTATCAGTGGAGCCACAGTAGCCACAGATGACTGGCATCGTTGCATATTCCTGAATAACAAAGTTAATCAACTATGATTATATTGTTACTTTCAAAGTAAAATTTAATCAAATTGTTAACAGTAAAATTTTTAACTTTTTTTTTCTTAAAAAAAACTAATTTCGAAAAATCTTTCGGATAAGTTGTATAGGCATAATAATATCTTGTATTCGTTCATTTATTCGAAACGACGTGGAAACCCATGAATAAACAACGGTGCTGTTGTATCAAGATTCTATCTTTATTCAGTGTGTGTCTTTCGTATTGGCGTGGTTACAGTGAACGTCCAGAGACTTGGAGACCACGTGTGCATGGATAATGAGGTTAACGTGCACTCATCGAGTAAGGTATTTACACATCGGACCGACTCGGATTCAACGTGACCAAGTGTGCCCTTACAAGTCCCAGCCTTTTCCTTCTTTCTATCTACGAACATGGATTCTATTCAACGTATCCTTGGTTACTAGTAATTTTCACTCGCTATTTAGATAACAATTTTGTGAGTACACTTTACAAATAGCAACTAGTTCTATTATCTCTCTTTCTTATTGAAGAGTAAATATTAGATTGATGTTATATATAAGAAACAATCTTTTTTAGTTTTAGTTTAATATTTTTAGTTTAATTTTATATTCTATTGATTTTATAAGATAAAAGCTTTAAAAAATTAATTTTTTAAAAATTACAAACATTTTTATTGATTTAAATTCGATTTAAATTTGATAAAATATAATACTATAAAAAAAATATAATAAATAAAAAAATAATATTTAAAATTATGAAATAAGATAATTAGATGAAAAATAATCTATACCAGTAAATTCAAATTTATCAAATTTTCTTTATTTTAGTAGCAACTATGGTTAAAAAATTAAAGTTAATTTTTGAATAATTTTGTTTAAATTGCTATTCAAATATTTATTCTTCTGTCACCTAAGTGGCTTACAATTATTTTTTTATCGCTGATGTATCATGAATGTGATCGCTTATTAAGTTATGTCTTACACGAGTTGCATTATCAGTTATTTTTAGCTTGTGTAGAATCTCCTCAGAATGTTTAATCAGCGATAAAATAATAAGAAAATTTTAATTAGTATTCTTTATATCACACAGATATATATACACACCTTGTATTGATAATTTCTTAGAAATATCACGATTACAATTGCTATTCGTTCATACTAAGAACTTAAATAAGATATTTCAAGAAATTCTCATAGCACTATAATATTAATAAATGTTTGCTAATCAATTTAATAATTTTAAAATTGACGAAAATTGATCATTAAAAAATTTGCTAATATAATTTTTTTTTAATGTATGATTAATATAAGCAATCAATGTCAAAAATTTAGAAGTCTTTTTTTTTTGTAAATTTAAAATTAGAAAATAATTTTCTAATTATAATAATCATTTTTATTTTGTAATTTTGTTTAAGATTAAATAGGAAAAAGTAAAAAAAAAAAAAAAAAGGAAAAATTAAACTAATAGTAATTATAGAAAGCAGGTCAATGAACTCATAAATTTTCTTGTAACTAACACATATTCTTTAATAACATCATATAATTAATAATATCAAATATATACTTATTAATATATCTATATTTAAAATAATATCATGAAAAAACCTATTATATAAAAAAGTATGCATTTAAATATAAATTATATACTTTCTAGATGCATTTATTTATAACAATTTAATAAAAATTTTATAAAAAAAGCAATAAATATTTTCTTTTATTTTCTTATATAGATTCTTTTTTCAGATAATTGTTCAATTTACAATTGCTAACATTATCGTTGTATCATTATACATTAATGGAAAAGAGAAGGAATGAATGAATTCTATTCTAGTTCGAAGAACAAAGAAATACAAGCTCTCGATCGGTACACAATTTTCATTATTATTTTATTCACGTTATTGGATGCATGTTACACGCACTATGACAGATTATACAATTTAGCACGAAGAATTACAAGGACCAGACTGCGAGCAGAGTCGACATACATTCATCACAATTGACACGATTGACCTACAGCGGTTCTCAACCATGGAGTCTTGTGAAAACCGGTTTGACAAGGTTCAAGAATATAAATGATATCGGTGCTCTATTCGCTTCTTCTCGTGAAAGTACAGTGACAGACGCTAAGAGGAAAAAGCTTCAAGGAAAAATTTAATAATTTATATTAGAATTCAAGAAAAGAATTTATTGTGATATAGATATATTATAAGAAAATTTTGAATTCTAATGAATATATCATATTATCATAGATGAAATAGAATTGGTATAATATATATATATTATAACTTTAAAAGATATTAAATTTTATTTATTTTACATATTTCATAACTTTAAAAACAAATTATTTTTATTTATATTATAGTATAAAATTCATGATTTTATTTTATTGGATTATGGGAGTTATTTATGTAAATTTAACGTAGATCTAATTGTGCAAATAATAATTGTTTCGTTGAAATTTGAATTTCAAACGAATTTACGTAAGTTCATGTGAATTCTGAGAACAATTTATGATGCTTGGTTTTTAAAAGATTCTGGAGGAAACTCCATTTAAACACATCCTGGTTAAATGATCGCTTACGAATAATGATCAACAGAATACTTGAAATTATATAATCAAAAGTTTTAAATAGATTAGATACATTAGTTGGTTATTGAGAAGATGAATAATATTAGAGATGTTAAGTATGATCCCATTGGGAAATAGAAAAAGATGTATTATTGTAATTAAAAAAGTGACATAATTCTCTAAATCATGAAATCACTCGAGAAGATATTAATTTTTTTAAGAAGTTTTAGAAATTAAACTTTGATTCAAATATGTTTATTTTACTTTGAACTATCTAAATTTAATTTCAATTATTTCCTTAATATACTTGAATTTTAAAAAAAACATAAGAGAATAACAAATAATTTATTAATCTATTAATGATATTAATAGATCAATGATATTAATAGTAATTTAATGATATTAATAATTAAGAAAGAAAAATATAAAACATATTTAAAGAATATAAAACATACTTAACCTCTTTAAAGAAAAACATGATAAGTATAACCTCAATAATACCTCAATAAACATATAAAAAAATTGACTAATAAAATAAAAATTCTTCCAAATGAAAAAATAAAATAAATATTTATTTTAAATATATTTTTCCAATTATTAGATTTACGAATAAGAAGAAATTTGAGCAAGGAAGCTTAGTTCAACTGGAAGAACGCAACTCTCATGGAACGCGATCGAGTGCATCGAATGGCGGTCACGGTTTTTGAACAAACCACAGGTGACGAGAAGACTTGTAAGATTTATTGTGGACGATGCACGTAAAGCGGTTTGGTCGAAAAGCAAAGAGGAAAGAGCAATTTTTCGCTGACAAAACGAGTGATTGTCGTCGTTTATAAACTCTAATTAAGATAATTGCAACTAAGGACGCGTTTAAAGCGTAGCAAAGGGGACGAACCATTAAACTCAAACATATTATTTGGTGGTTGAACAAATAATATGGAATTTCGATAAAAGAAAATTTAATATTATTGCGCATATATTTGTTTCAATCTTTTTAATATCTCTAATTCATTATTTCCTTTTTGTTTTAAAGTTCAAAATTCATTTAATTTATAAAATATTTGCAGATATATTTTTATGGAAATTGAGACTAAAACAAAATTCAATGAGCGAAAAATAAAATTCAAAACAAATTCTACCATAAAAATATAAAATGTAATAATATCAAAAAAAAAGATTCGATTCATCAGAAAATGTTTATATTTTTAACTTCTTTATTTAATATTCTTTCCATAAAAATAAAACCAGTTTTTCAATCGTGTCGGTTTAATATTTTATTTAATATTTCATATATTTAAGAATTTATGAATACAAATTTAAATGAAATCGCATGAAATCTTCCTGAAAATTCAATATACATTTAGAAAATTTGATAAATTTGTCGAATTGTTGATTAAAATTCTTTTTTATTTCTCTTTAAAATCATTAAATAAAAATGGTCATTTTCCTAGAAACGTCACTCGTTAGTGTAGTAGGGGTTCAATATAATTCTTAAATGCTGCTTTTAGTGCCTTGACCGAGTTTAATGTACCCACACTATAATGTGGGGTGATATTATTCAATAGGTTTATAGAGAGAGGTCACTTTCTGTGATAAGATAACAGCGAATCACAAGAATGAATATATATATTTTCGAATAAATTTCAATTGATCAATGATCTTGGATTCAGTGCAGGCATTCGATTTTTTTCTTTTCGTTTCCGTTTTTTTCCCCTCTCATTTTTCGTTTTTTCTTTCTTTTTCTTTTTTTTTTTTTTTTTTTCTTTTTTTTTTTTTTTTTTTCTTTTTTTTTTTTTTTTTTTCTTTTTTTTTTTTTTTGTTTTGTTTTCATTTTTATCTCGTTATATGTGTGACGTTTGTTACATGGAACACGGTCACAAGAATCAACCTGGTTGTGTATAGAGAAACTGAGATGTCGGTGGGTCGTGGCGATATCGTATTGCGGTGCGTCTGCACAAAAGCTTGGGTTACATCACGTTGCACATTTGGACCAGCGACCGGTTGCAACGAAAACGAGACCACGATATGAAAACCACGGTACTAACGTAATTTACGTGAACAAGAACGTTCAAAAAAAAGAATAATCGTGTCAAATAAAGTAAAGTATTGCTTTGATCTAGATTAAGTTTTCATTTTTTTCTTTTTTTGCAGAAAAGAATATCATGTACAAAAAATGGTATCAAAATATCTTTCAATATTTTTTGTTTACTTCTGAAAACAAAAAAGGTTATTGAACTAAGTAAGTAAATAGAGAAATATTTTAATGCAATTATTTTTAATTATATAATTTATAATTATCTAAATATAAATATTTTTTAACCTAATTATTTTTTATATATTAATCTAACCTAACCAAAACATTTCTTAAAGGAATGTGAAGGACATACAATATTAAAAGTAATTCTCTGAAGATTCTTTTTATAAAATGACTTTCACGAAAATCAATTTTGAAAGTGGACAAGATAGAAGCATACTTTTTTAAAAGCGGTACAAAAAGTAGAAAGTTTGAAAATGACAATAGTGACATTCAGCAACAAAGTAACAGTAATTTTACTATATCGAATTCACAAACTTTATCAAATCTTATATATTTATTTTAGTTTTCAACCACTTTTCTTTTTTATTCATTGTTCCTTTTCGACAAAAGAGAATTCCACTCTGATCAAGCTATATCGAGATTAATTCGTATTTGCACAGTTTCCTAATGTTTAAATATTTATCCAATATTTATTATATTTTAATATTTCAATAGAATTATTTATTATTAATAAAGTAAAAATATAATAATGCTGACAATTTCCAGAATCTAAATTTCTTTCATTAATAGACACGATGCGATCCCAACATGTATCCATACATATCGATCATACATATATATGTATACCATGAGACGTTACTCAAATGATGCTAGTCCAGATGGAGACATGAAAAGATTCTCATACCCACGAATTCATTCTGTTATATCAAAGTTCTTGACTCATAGATGGTATGTCAGTTATTGTTGACTAACTTGTTTTAATTATTCATATAGTATATTAGTAGAAATCTTTGAATACAAAAAACCGTTCCTAATTCCTAACCTAATATTTTCAATTCTTATTTCTTAAATCTTAAATTCGGAATTCTCAGAATAACAAGATTATTCTCTATTTTTTATATTTTCCAGATGGTTTTCTCTTTTTGTCTAACAATTTTTAATGTTTTGAAGCAATTTTCTTGGAATTTGGATAATTTAAAATTGCATTTTCAATTGAACATTTAATCCTAATTGACTAATTTTAACTTTTAAGAATTGAAAAAAAAATGCAAATTTTACATTTAATTTAGAGTTAAAAAAATTTGAAAAATCTCGATATTATTTTCAATATTTTCAATCTATTGCAGATTCAAGGTAAATTTATATTCGGAGAACGGCTTTCCCTAGTATCCTTGACTTTTTAATTCATATTGCACTTGTATTCGTGCCTCATTTATTTTCTTCACATTGAATGTGATAGTTACAAAGTTTTAACGATTCAAGCTTTGAATTATCAGAAACGTGATTCAACAGCATCCTATCTAGCAAATGCTTATTCATACAATTACAAAGATTATTTTTTATTAAATAAAAACAGAAAATAAATAAACAGAATTTTCTTAACTGATAATATAATAAAAATGATTTTCTCTGATATTGATTATTTTATTGATTATTTATCATTTTCAATTTGTTTCATAAGATAAATTTATTGGGATCTTGTAACATGTTAAACCCTTTCACTTTCACTTACTCTAACTTAACCTTTTTAATGTTATATATATTTACAAATTAAAAAACATAGACTTGATGTAAATGATTATATTAAATTATTATTATATTATATTAAATTTATAATAAATTGAATGAATGTATGATATTCTTGCAATACAACATATAAAAATTCTTTTGAAATTTCAGAAGAAATATTTATTTGAAGTTTTCTCGGTTAAAGGCCAGTAAAAAACCAAGGTTTTAAGTGAAAGGTATTTTTCAAGAATAAAACAAGGTTTAAATTGATTAGCTATATATGCCCTCATTATATTCTCGTAATTATCAAGAAATGATAATTTTTCATCCCGACATTTATTATATAAATTTAATAAATCTCATTATAAATATTTTAAAGAATGTCACGACTCATAAGTTGCGAACCACTGTTATTAAATTCTATAAAAAGAAGAAATAAAATTCATATTTATAACATAATCGATGAGAAATTTGGCAATTCCTTTTGTTTATATCTTGAAAATATTCTACTTCGAATATTCTCTAGAAAATTTTTTACCTATTATAAATTCATTTAAACAAACGAAAATTTCTTTACATCTTCTAATAAGCACAAGCGATAAACGACGACGAGCGTACGAAAATATTTACATAATATCATATTACCATTTGCTATTGATACGCCATAGCAGCAACGGACCGTTTATGTATCGTTTTACTTCGAATTAAAGTTTTGCTGATTTTCTTTCGTAGAACATTAGTTTAGTTTCTAAGTGCAGCGATAGATTCTTAGTAACCGGAACTCCTGTCTTGTCTCTGGAACATTTACGAGATTCCGTAAACATGTGCGTAACATGTGTCACCATCGTTTTTACAAGAGTGAATATTTGTAGTAGGCATAAATTAAGTCGATCATAAATCTAACACCCTAATTTTTAAATATTTAGAAGAATAAAATAGCTTTATTATTAATTATTTATTGAAATTATAATTTATATTTTTAAAAAATGATATCTAATAATTATTTATATTTATTATGTGTTATATTTTTTTTCTAAGAAAAAATATGTTAAAATTTTCTGAATTTTAAAAAATTGTTTCTTTAAATTTTCGTTTTATCTTTAAAAAAAATTTATGTCAATGGCAATGAACAACAGCTTATGTAAAAATATTGTATTCGTGTAAAAATTCTTTATTTTTTTGAAATCTTTGTACAGTCAACTGATATTGAAAATTATGACGCGATAAATTTACATAAATATTGATGTTCATTTATGTAGAATTAAAAATATGAATTTTAATATTAAAAATATTAATTTTTATGAATTGCGATAAACAGTTATTTCAATTTTATATAATCATTATAAATTTGTAAAAAAAAAAAATTGTACATTATAAAAATATCTTTTTATATAATAAAATTTACTGAATTTTAAATATAAAATTACAAGGAAAATAAACAATTTTCCTATAAATAAAAAAAAACATATATATATAATTATAAAGGAATTTATTAAAAAATAAATATCAATTATAAATATAAAGATAAAAATATCGAAGAAAAAATAAAAAATTCAAATTAATGGAAAAATTATATAAGTTTCAAGGTTTCTACTTCAGTATTCAACTAAATATTACAAATATAAAATTTAAATACATAAAAAAAAAATTATCAAATTTTAAACAAACTTTTAAAAAAAAAAATTATCAAATTTTTTTTTTAATTTTTATTATTTTTGTTGCAATTTAATATATATTTCAGCATTTAACATAATCTTAAACAAAATGACGCTGAATACAAGAGACTGGTATTTTCGTAGGATAAAATTTTCGCAGTTCTTTCAGGAACCGTGCATTTGGTCACGTACAAATTACAGCAACCCTTTGTTAAACGATAGAATAAAGACATAAAACGTGAGAAGAAGCGAGCAGACAGCACTAAATTGCTGATATTGATTGCAATAATATCCTGTTATATTGCCTTATGTAATTTCATATGCAAATTTATTTTTATGTATAAAATGAATTTGAAAATATGAAAAAAATGTAAAAATATAATTTCGATTATTACATATCAATTTTTATTCTTTATTAAATATAATAATCAAATTTTTTTATTCATTTTAATTTTTAAAATCTATTGTCTTACTTTTCATTTAGAAAGTAGTACAATCTATTATTAGTTACAGTTTGCAAATATCATCTAATGATACTAATAATATTAACATAAATAGTAGAAATTCACTATATTTTAGTTATCTATAATATATTAAAAATGTCATAAAAAAATGAAAATTATTTATTCAGAATTTCAACGTGCAGTTATTTTTTTTATTGAATTTACGAATATTAAATATAATATAAGATAAATATATTTTATTTTATAATATTCGAGATTTGTTTACATCAAAAAAATAATGGAAGAAATGAAAACATACTTATTGGAAATTTGAAACTTCCTATAATTTTCTTCTTTAAAAAAAAAATATATATTCATTAATTTTATATATAAAATAATTCTAAACATGATGTTATTATTCAGAATACAAATTTTGTTCGTATAAATTCTGCATATGATCCTTCTGTCGACCTCAGTGTTCAATTGAATTTAACGATCAAATTAAACCGATTTACTTTCATTATGATATTCGAGGCGAAGAAGAGATCGGCCAAAACAGAAAAGAAAAAGAAAGATGCAAGCAAATAACGGTAATGGGAGTCTCAAGTTTTAAATCACCACAAATTTTGAAATAGAATATTATTGAAAGAAAAACTAAAAATTTTTATAATTATACATTATAAATATATGAAATTTTTTTTTATTATAATTTATATTTTTTGAATATTAGATAGAAATATCTTGTTATATACTATTTTCGTATGCTTGAAATTCGAAATATTTGCTATCTATTATTTTCATAATAAATAAAATTAAACAGAAAAAAAGAAATAAAAAATAAAACCTATATGATAATCTTTTTTATAAATTTTTTTTTTATATTTCTTAATTTTAAATATATACGTTCTAAGCATAGAAAATAAATTATTAAAAAATAGAAAGAATCGAACGTACAACAGTAGCCCTCATCGCTGAACGCAGGAGCATGCACTATGGAAACAGGGTATACAATATATTGTGGTATATAAAGGGGGGAGTTTGAAGCAGCCCATCGGTCCCCCACCGTTTCGATCCCCACCTCCTGGGCCCTCTCCTACTCGTTTCTACTCCGGCAGTCCCCCTAGCAGATCGAAAGAGTTTCCCTCTCGCCCCTCTGCTGAACAACAAGCCACTGACTTCTCGTCAGTCGACGTTGAAGACTGCTACGTACATACGTGTATATGCTCGACACAATTCGGTGTTGGCTACTCGCAACCCGTTCATCGGACGATCTATCTGAACGATATATTGAGAGAAAAAATTCTGCGCGAAGAGGAGAGAGAGAGAGAAAGAGAAGGAGAAAGAGGGGGTTCGTGGCACGCTGAGAGAGTTCAAGGTGTTGCACAACTTTGCGTCAGGCTGTGTTTCTCTCTGAGAAATCCTCGACTGACGAAAAAAACAGCAGCAGATTGATAGTGAGTGTCGTAGCTTTGACACAAAGCGAAAAATTAATCGGTTTAGTGGCGTGACATAGCGCGATTACGGAGATCGAGAAAACTAGACGAAACGAGCGCGCGTCTCGATTACATGTAGCTCTATCTATCAAGGAATCACAGAGATCACGTGGAAAAAGACATACAATCGATCCAGAAAACACTGTTTGCTTCCAGTAACACGTACGGTTATTTGTTTACCACGACTCACCTGAACGTTTTCTGAACGTGTTTAACGCCTTCGAACCGATTGATTGGCGGCAAAAAATGTTGACAGGACACGTTTGTTTCGTTAAGGCATTCCAGAATTAAATTCTTGCCAGAAGATAACCGTGTGCGTGTGTAAAGTCTAAAGTGGCCGTTCGCGATCTCGTTCAACGTGGTTCGGTGACCGATCGCGTGTGCGCGCGCGCACACTCTCTTCTGTCCGAAGAAAGAACAAGAAGCAGTGGTGGAGTAGGGCAGAAGAAAAGGAAGAAGGACGCCAAAGGAGAAGGAGAACCGGGAGAAAAGGAAAAGAGGGAGGCACGCCGCGTGGACACAGCCGTACGATCGTGTGTCTGTTTCGTTTCGTTTTACCGCTTTTCGAGTCTGAGCTGGTAGATGAAGACTCGGGAAAGTTTCAGTTAATATCCGATTTTTCCGATACGTGTTTCTCTTGTTTTTTTCTCTTTTGTTTTTTTTTTCGTTCGTGAACGATTTTACCACGTGGGAATAATCGTGCAAAGGAGAAGAAAACATACGAGGATTGTAAACAACCTAACGCATCGTTTGATTAAAGAAAACAATCATGTATAAACTACTAGGAGGTCTTGGACAATACTTGAAATGGCAGGAAATCACAACAGATTCTATGGTGTTTCGGTTACACAACCACTTTACAACGGTGCTACTTTTCACGTGTTCGATGGTAATCACGGCCACCCAATACGTAGGCAATCCGATCTCCTGCATCGTTCAGGGTTTACCCACGCACCCTATCAACACTTATTGCTGGATAACTTCTACATTTACTATGCCGGACGCATTTAATCGGCAGGTGGGTAATCTGGTTTAACGACTACGTTCCTAATTTTCTAACTTAGATTCATATTTAATCACGGCACCACAGGACCACTTATTTCTAACCTTCGAAACCTTGATGGGCATAGTGTGGGGTTACGAATCGTTGATAACTATAGAAAAATGTTATACCGACTGGTTTTCGATATAATAAAATTATAAAATAGATTTTATTTTTATATAACTGAAATAAAACATAATTTAAAAAGACTTTAAATTAACATATATTATAAAAATTCAATTATTAAATTCAAAACAAATTAATTATTAAAAATTATTTTAATATATGTAATAACATTAAATATTTATTTGTAATGTTTGGTGAATAATACAATTTTATATTTTTTTTACATATTTATATTATGTAGATTATTTAATTTGTAGTTTATTAATTAAAATATTTATTACTATTATTAATTAATTATTTAAATAATCATAAATAATTTAGATTTTGTTATAATTAATAAATATATAAAAAATAATTTAGATAAATAATTTAGATATTTTGTTTTAATTAAAAATAAAAATATACTTATTAATAATTGCAATATAATTGCAATAAAAATAATGAACTTTGAAAAAAATTTCTTGATGTAATAATAAATTTTCAAAAATTTTGCTTGATAATGTTAATAATATTGCTTGAAATGTTATTTTTTTTATTTTTTTATTGCAAATAAAAAAAATATAATATATGGATGGAAAAATTTTAGGATTTATACTAAAATTATCTAATAACCTCAATAACTCATTATTTTTTGTAACTTTATATATAATTATTCATTTTATATAAAATTTTAAATCTTAAATGTAGTTTTAGTGTATGTATTTTGATATTAAATTTTGAAATGTCTATAAAAAAAAATTTATATATATATAATATTTTTTATTATAAAATCAATTTTTTTCATTCAGTAAATATTACACTATAAATTTATGTTGAATATATTTAATTATATAAAATAGAGATAAATATTTGTCTAATATATTTTAATTTTCTTTACTTTTATCAAGTATCAAATAAATTCTTCTAAATTAATTCTTTTAAAATAAAATTTTTTATCTTTTCATCATTTCACTTCTCTTTTGATAATCGTTTCTGATAAATCCTATAAAGACTATAGAAAATGCATACATAATGAAAATATAAATTAATCAACACTCTTTCGTTGTTATTCTATTGTTAAAAGAATATTTATTTCTTTCATTAGGTTGGTCTAGAGGTGGCGCATCCAGGAGTAGCGAACGACTTCGGCGATGTAGATGCGAGGAAATATTATACTTATTACCAATGGGTGTGCTTTGTGTTATTCTTCCAGGTAAAGGCTCGTTTATCAGTAATCTACCACGCGACAGATAAAACACAGACAGCTGCACGTGCCTTCTCGGTTAGGTTTTTCTTTACTGTTCTCATCTTTCTCGTATTGGATATCTGAAACTGACTCGCGGACAAAAATGCATGAGCGTAAAAAATTGACTTGACTTAAAATTTTATCATACTGATGATAATCTATTTTTTTTTGCAGTGCTATCAGTTTTTGTCTTTACCTGTCTTGAGAACTGCTTTGGCAGTAGTTTCGGTCTATTTGACGCCTTTATCGGTAGAGTCGAAAGACTAGATTAAATTAAGAAGAATCATCAGCAAGTTTGCACGCCTATATAATATAAAAAATAGGAAAATATAAAAAATAGAAATATAAAGAATAGAATTAAAACGATTCTACACGTGATTACATTTATAATTGTTAAAAATTGTCACTTGAAAAAATTTTGAAATTTGGAAAAGAGAGATTTCGATTTGTGTTGATTTCAGTTTCGATTCTACAAATATTCTGTAACAATTCCAATGGTTTATTATAATCCGTTATATATATGTATATATATCATATTTGATTTAAAAATTTTGCTTTTAATTTAATTTTTTTTCAATTAAGTTTTGTAAGCAGAGATTTCAGATAGAAGAGTTTAGATAAACATAAATAGATGTGAAATTTAATTCTTCAGATTGAAGATATCTTAATTATACGTTTAAATCATAATAAAACAATAAATGATAACAAACAATGACTATATTCATGAATTAATGATTCAGGATTATTGATTTATTAATATTTGTTTAATACAAAATCGATATATAGGTGATATATAATCTTTATGGAATTATTATAGAATTTAAATAATATTAAAAAAATGCTAAATTGAAAAAATTACTTTGAATATAATAAATGAATATTTAAATAATTAAATTTTTATTATTGCAAATTTTATAGATTATATAACTCTTTTTATAATATGTCTCAATACTGGCATTATTGATTCTATTTATCTGAATATGAATTCATATTACTTAAATGAGAAATGATAGGTAATGAAGAGAATCAGAATACTCTTATATATGCTCCAGTTACATGTAAGAACTGTTTGTCTCATGACTCCGTTCAGATAAAAGAAGTTCCATTGTAAATGTATATGTTTTTTACGTAACCATTGGAATTTCTTTCACTGATAAATGTAATATGAGATTTGCGTATATCGCGAAGAAATCAATATTATATTGGTCGCTTTATGCAAACTGCATAGCTTATACATGGATTATACATCGTTGGTGTTTTCATAAATATATTATAAAATGATTGCTTAATTTTTAAAGAAATGTTTTTTTGTGCATAATTTCATTCAAATATACATTTTCATGCTTAAAAAAAAAATATTTTCTTTTAATCAACGAAATATTTATAATTTTTCACAGGCAGTACTATGCTACGTTCCACAATGGTTATGGAATATGTGGGAGGGCGGTTTGATCAACGCACTGGTTATGGGTATGAATCAAGGTCTCGATCACGAAGATAATATTCAAAGAAAGAAATCTACGCTTATGGTTTATTTAATGCAATATAGAAAGGTAAATTTATTTATATATTTATAAGTGATAATATATATATATATATAATATTATTTCAATTGAATAAAAAAAATTATATTCTTATAAGAATATTCTAATAAGAATATGAGAAATACTTTATAAAAATTATGAATTAATCTTTAATTTATAATGAATTTATCAATAATATCATAATTGAATTTATCAACACTTTTTTAAAATACATATTTTTCATTAATTATATAATATTAGAAAATTAAATACAATTCTTTGAAAAAGAATTGTAAAGTTTAATTGCTAATATAAAATTAAGAAAGTAAAAATAATAATTACTGATTAATTAATTTTTTTAAGTTAATTTTTTAATACTTTAAAACAAATTTTTATCAACCATGATACTTCAAAATCATATCTTGGGAGAAAGAACATAAAAGGTTAACAAAGAAGAGAAAGAAGGCTGAGATGATTTGGTTAAATCCAATTTGCCTTCATTGAGTCCAATTTATGCCAATTCACCGATTGCTTGTTCTTCTTTCAGACACACAACACGTATGTGTACCGGTATTTCGCCTGCGAGGCCCTCTGTCTTGTCAATATTTTCCTTCAACTGTACCTGATGAATCGGTTTTTCGACGGCGAATTCCTCAGCTATGGACTGCGAGTTTTACAATTATCCGATGTCCCACAAGAAGAACGTGTAGATCCTATGGTCTACGTCTTTCCACGCGTTACCAAATGCATTTTCCACAAGTATGGTGCATCAGGAACCATACAGAAGCACGACTCTCTATGTATTCTACCGTTGAACATCGTCAACGAAAAAACGTATATTTTCATCTGGTTCTGGTATACTATTCTATCGATTTTGTTGATCGGCTTGATGGTCTACAGAGCTGCCATAATCTTCGCCCCAGCCGTCAGACCAAGATTGCTTCATCTGTCATCAAGACTTCTCTCCATAGAAACCTGCAACAGTATCAGCAAGAAGATTGACCTTGGCGATTGGTGGCTTCTCTACATACTCTCTTCTAACATGGACTCGTTGATTTACAGGGATTTCTTGCAAGAGCTTACTAAAAAAATGAGCGATTCACATTCAGTCGTTGCCTAGATTACATTTTGCTATTTTACAAACTAAAATTAAAAGACATGGATTGAAAGAATAATAGAATTATGGACTGATTCGTTGATTGGTCAATAGGCAGATTCTATATTTTCTGCTGAGAGATTATTTTTACTGTAGAAAATTAAAGAAAGTTAAGTCGTTGAAAGAAAATATATATGTAAATCTGCGCATTTATATAAATGAAGCGAGAATTCATAAAGAGATATTTTCCTAACTTAGCGCTTAAAGAACGAAACAATTGCTATATACGACTGACGTAGAAAATGCGATGAAGACATTCCTAATGCCGCATTAAAGTGACCACTTTAGGATCTCTGTATGTGTGCTCGTGCGTGCGTATTTGTGTGTGCGTATGTATATGTGGATATGGTAGCTGCGTGTTATGTATACTCACGCGTGCATCATCATTGTTTCTCAACGATTAGGTCTCGAGAGAATCGTTCTGTATCTTTTCATTTAGTGTTCGTTTTCCAAAGCAAGCAAAGCTATTTTATTTCTTCGAGTATTGCTCAAAGAAAATCGTTTCACTAGGATTAGAAAAATTTCTTGATCGTGAGGATCTTAACGTGCAAGGATATGTATTTTACTGTGCAACGCCTTTTTTGCTATGAGATCATACTGG